GATGGATGGATGGATGGATGGATGGATGGATGGATGGATGGATGGATGGATGGATGGATGGATGGATGGATGGATGGATGGATGGATAGATGGATGGATGGATGGATGGATGGATGGATGGATGGATGGATGGATGGATGGATGGATGGATGGATAGATGGACGGATGTTAAATGTTTTTGACAATATATTTGTCTTTCTTTAGATAATCTGGCTGTTTTACGCTTAAATAAATCCAGAAATACCAATATATCTGAGTTTATAAGTAACAGGCATTCATAAAATGCCTGTGTTATTGTTTTTTTTCTAAAGTGTCTATATCGATTGCAGAGTCCTTTAGTAGCAATTTTCCCGATCGTCTGCACAATAGAATAAGTATGATCAAAACACTGTTGAGCGCAGACGAATAATACAAGAATTTCAGAGTAAGATTATGTCTCATTCTTGTAGTAATTGCTTTGCATTTTGTACACTGGAAAAATTATCTAGAGATAAGTTAAAATTTCTTAAATTAAGTGTATTTAACCTTATTTTGAGCAGGTAAATGAGACAGTTGCCAATGGAATGAGTGTTTTTACTCTTAAAATAAGAGTAATAATAATTAATTAGATAAAATGCACCTGAAATAAGATCATACAATTGTGATTTCTTATTTTAAGTGTAAATTGTCCTGTTCCTTTGGCAAAATGTCTATTTTTCCACCTCAGTTCAAGAACAGATGCATTTATTTTAAGAAGAAATGACTTAGCTACATTTGGATTTTTTTCCAGTGTAAGTTTTGCTCACAATTGATAGTTGACATGATTTTAGCAGATTTTGCCATCCAGGCTAAAAGGGATTTAATTTAATTTAATGATCTATTTATGTATGTCTATATATATCTTTAATTTTAACATTAGGGTTCTATTTTATGTCCTCCAAAGAGCTTTGTTTTACTCAAGTTTAATGATTATTTATTTCCCTTAAGATTGCTTTTTTATTGGTTTATTTCTGTTGTTATAACTTCCAAAATCTGCTGGAAATCTTATAAAATTTTTGTATTATCTACAATTGATATCAG